TGATCTGCAGGAACTACTAAAAAGCTACGGAGGAGTTATTAGAGGTAACTTAGCTCTCAGAGCTGCAAGTCTCTGAAAAAGTAATCAGTTGACGTATTTTAGTGGAGGAAAACACCAAAAAAGTTCCCTTTATGTTCTAGAAAGTATCCTATGAGTTAAATGGAACCTGTTTGCCACATTGAAGGGAAAGAACAGGCGCTAATATATATGATTGATCAGCTTTTAACATTAAAACAGGTTTAATCTGCGTAAAAATAGACTTGAAAAGAATCCGATCCGCCTGCTAAACATTCTGCTCTGCTCACAGGGCGACCTGCGGTAAAACCAACAGGCTGCCAAGCTCCTTAAGGACCGGGGTGTTGTCTGAGAATGGCACCAGAGAAACCGAGAGAGAGAGAGACAGAGACAGAGAGGTAGAGAGAGAGAGGGGGGGGGCAGAGGGAGTTCCAAAAAAAAGTTAAAATCAATCCACTGGACTTTGTTTCCACGTTTCAAGACGTTTCTCTTCCATCAAGGAAACTTTTTCAATTCAAAATGTCAGAAATAGCATTTAGTTCCAGGCTATATATAGCGGCCCATCAAATATATATATATTAAATAGCCTCAAACTCTAAAGTAGAGGCTATATAATGAGAAGGAATAGCTTTGATTCGAGGCTATATCCAGTAGCCCAACAAATATATACTACATAGCTTCTAACTAAATGCTAATTGTGCCATTTTTAATGGAAAAATCTTCCTGGATGGGAAGAGAAATGTCTGCAAACTTCGAAACATAAATACGGCGGATTGTTTTTTAACTTTTTTGTGGAAAGACTGAGAATGTTCCCCAGCAGAGGGAGGTAGAGAGAGAGAAAGGAGGAGGGAGAGAAGGTTACTGCTTCTGGGTGGGTTTCAGACGGATGAGGGACAGATGACCTCCACGCAGCGTGGAGTAGCTTTTTCTGGACGTCTGCTCTATTTACAGAGAGGAGGGGATGCATAATCAGAATATCTCAGAATATCCAAACCGACCCAAGCTCAGGCCCGCCATCGCTGCCGGAGCGGAGAGGCGGCGGTTCTCTAAAAAAAAAACCTCCAAAAATCAACGCTAAAAACGGCGTCACCGTAAACACGTCGTCATGGCTACGCTACAGCGGGACACCGATAGTTTCTGTGGAAAAGCACGCCCTCTCTCTCTCTCACACACACTCGGTCTCTCACACTGATATTAAGACAAACCGCTCCTCTCGTTTGCTGAGGTGGAAAACAGAATCTAAATCTCATAATTATGTGGAAATAATCTCCATCCTAGCAGAGGTGTGTGCATGTGTGAGTCCTCAGTCTTTATACACACTATAAACATGGCCACAGCTCAGTTCTGATTGGCCGACGGCTCTTTACATCTCCTTCCATTGGAGGCTTCTCTTCTTCTGTAGATACAGTCTCCGGTTGCCAGGCAACGGCAGCTTCCTGTAGCCCCACCCAGCTGGGAAAGACGAGCGGCGGAGTCTGCGATGACGACACCTTCCAGCGAGCCCCCCCCTCCCGGCAGGAAACAGTTTGTGAAGGTATCCCAGAGATGGAAGGTGATTGGTCGCTCCGGCTTTGGGGGCGGCGTCTGATTGGACGGTTTTTGCTGTAGTTTGAAGCACCAGGAAGTGGGAGGGAGGCTAACGGTGTTTGGGGATCCGCCCCCCCCAGTGAAGGTGAAGCCTGAAGGACGGCGATGTCGACGGAAGGCCTTCGATTCGGTAAACCTACAGACGCTAACGCTCGCTACGGAAGAGCAGGAGGGCCACCGGAAAAAGTTTAAATATTATTTCAGTTTAATATGAAAAAAAGTCAAAATAATGAGATTAGAGTCAGAGTTCTGAGAAAAAAGTCGATATTTTGACTTTTTTTTCATATCATACCAAAATAAAATAAAAAAAATCAGTAAAATTTTTAAATATATCAGTGGCCCTAATTGTCTTCCGTAGATTTCCTGCTTTTCTTTGCGTTTAATCCCATGTTCTACCTAAAACATCCGGGAAAATAACTCGCTCTTACAAAACTATAACTCAGTTTTAACCTAAAATACTTTTGAATTCAGAAAAATTTTGTTTGGAATCCAGAAAGAATATAAAAAAAAAATAACTGGAAACAAATCTAATTTACAAAAAATAAAAATCAAGATGCTTCAGACGAAACAATCAGGTTTATATAGAAAAAAATGGCAAAAATAACTTCTCTTCTCTCTTTAGCGTTAAATGAATCCTAATAACTAAAGAACTAAGGCACATGTGAGGAAAAGTAAACCGTTTTTATCTGCACTGATGTAATAAAATAAAGCTGAAATAAGGATGAGCGGCGCGCGGCATGGCCGCCTTCAGGCTTCTCGCTGAGTTTCCCTCGGAGCCGGTGACCCTGTCGGCCTGCGGCGGTGTAGAAATCGTAAACCAGATAGTGACGTCATAGTCTGCGTTAACGCGCGTCAGTGCGTTTTGAGCACGCTCCGTGGCACCCAGCCCTCCGCCGCCGGCGACTCGCTGTTGGCCGGCCGATAAACCAGGCTCTGACCCTGCTGGTTGGACGACAGGATCTGGACTTTCTCTCCTCGGAACACGGAGATCTCGTCCTCGCGAACCGCCACGAAGTCCTGCAGCACCAGAACCAGCTCCTGAAAGGACAGCGGCGCCTTTAGAGGCAGTTTGACTCAACGGTCACAGAAAACGCAGGAAAGCGTCCAGACCTGGTCGTCCTGTTCGCTGTCGGGAGGAGGCTGCGCCGCGTGGCCGTTAGGAGTGGGCGGGGCCGACGGTGGTCGCCCGGACGACAGGGGGCGTGTCACGGAGATCCCGCCCTCTTTCCTCTGGTACTCAATAGGCGACTGGAGAGCTGAGATTAAAGCAGAGATATTTGATATGAAGAAATGATCGTTAAAGTAGATCAACTGGATCAGAGCTTCTGTAGAAAAACATAAATAGAATATGACGTCATTACAAATAGTTATAAAACAATCGACTTTGTTTCAGAGTTTGAAGACGTTTCTCTTCCATCCAGGAAGCTTTTTCAATTCAAAATGTCAGAAATAGCGTTTAGTTCCAGGTTTTATCCAGCAGAGGTCACCGATTAGCGGACTGGAAAAATATTTTTTATTTTAAAATTCAATAAATAACATGGATGCATTTTTATTTCAGTGTTTAACTCTGTTTAAAGTAACGGATTATAATTAAAAATGTCTCCAGATCTTTACTGGTTGATGATTTTCTTCATTCGGGCCCCGCTGGTTTTAATTGGTTACCACTGGTCTCTAGAGTGGACCGAAAACCTGAAAATTGAACCTGAAGAACGGGTCCCCCCCTTTGGAATGGGGGCCGTTTGGCTTCTTTGTTAGCCTGCAATGCCCCATACCTGTCTATGTCTCTGAAAGGGGTGTGTTAGAGGGAATAGTTGGCCTGGATGAACAGACGGGGGGTATTGCATGCTAACAAAGAAGCCAAATGCCCCCCTTCCAAACAAAAACTAGGCTTTGTTTTTGGTCCATTCTTAAAAATAGAGAGAAAATGCTTCATTATATAAATATGATAAAAGATTTATTTTAAAGCCAAAGAAACAGGAGAAGTTTTTCAAAATAAAAGACTTTTAACAAATGTTAACATCTGAGGAGACGTTATATTAAGATCTAATTAACTAAAAACTAAATAAAGTTTTATCAAATCAAAGTAAATAAACCGTAACAATGGTTTAACAGTTTGGAACCTAAATCTTCTACAAATACCTGACAAAGATCAGGAGATTAGAAATTATTTAGCAGTTAAAATAAAATAGATGTTTGAGGAGGTTTGAGAAATATTTCTGACATTTTGAATTGAAAAAGTTTCCTGGATGGAAGAGAAACGTCTTCAAACTCGGAAGCAAAGTCCAGTGGATTGATTTTAACTTTTTTTTGGAACAACTGTGACTGAGACTCTTCACCAATATGACATCATCAACATATCAGGAAGTAACAAACATTTCTGATTTCACACCAAAGCCGAGCAAAGTTATCTATTCCGGTTAAAAGGAAAACATTTGGATTTATTGAATTATATTTACATGTTATTACAGTTTAATATAGATTAATATTTCCACAAATGTTTCTAAAGGTTGAGGAAAAAAACTTTAGATACTGGGATTTAAAATAAGAAAATCTCTGGAAGTTTTATGATTTTCTTTTTATTTAGATTCTAGAATACTTTCCTGGTAAATATATATAAAAAAACTAAGATTTTTGGATCCTTTTAAGGAGATAAAAATAAATATTTAGGGTTTTTATGGCTTAAAGATGTTCTCTGAACATCAATAACTCTTAAAAAAGAGTTTTTGAACTAAGACTTTTTTTTTGCTTTCAGGAAAAAAACTGAAATCAGAGATATTTAATCCCTCAGATTAAGAATATAAATCAATCATATTCGTTCAGGTAAATTGGGCTACCTGACAGGAAGTTGTTCTGGGCGTCCAGCAGGGCGGCGATGGTCTCCACCCAGGTCATCTTGATGCTGGCGGAGGACGCCTGCAGCGTGAAGCGTTCTGCTGACCCGCGAGACCACAAGACGAACTTACAGGGATCTCCGTCCACGCTGTCCTGCATGGCCAGGTAACTCACCTGTTGGCGCAGAAACGGTTAATGGGCTCTGATGTCATAAACTGGTTGCACGTCCTCCCAGTCGGGCCTGGCCTCACCTTTATGCTGTTCTTGAACTGGTAGCCAGGGTTGTTGGAGCCTTTCCGCAGCAGTTCGCTGAAGATGACGACCTGCTCGAACAGGAAAACTCGGCGCTCTTTGCTGCGCGATAAAACGCCGCCGTCCTGCTCCCAAACGCAGAAGGTTTCCTGCTGCAGCAGCTTCCCCTGAGACGTCAGCTTCCCCTGGGAGAGAGGAGCACGAAGAGTCAGAAAAACCTCACCTTCCAAACATCACCTGCATTCAAGGTACATTATAATTGGAAAAAAACACACAAAAAAAAGTAATATTTTACTTCTCAATTTTGATTAGTTTATTAAAAATTCTGCTTAAAAATAGATGAAATATCTGACTTTTCTCAGAATTCCGACTTTAATCTCAGAATTCTGACTTTAATCTCAGAATTCTGACTTTAATCTCAGAATTCCGACTTTAATCTCAGAATTCCGACTTTAATCTCAGAATTCTTTTTTTCTCAGAATTCCGACTTTAATCTCAGAATTCCGACTTTAATCTCAGAATTCTGATTTTAATCTCAGAATTCCGACTTAAATCTCAGAATTCCAACTTTAATCTCAGAATTCTGACTTGAATCTCAGAATTCCGACTTTAATCTCAGAATTCTGACTTTAATCTCAGAATTCCGACTTTAATCTGAGAATTCCGACTTTAATCTCAGAATTCTGACTTTAATCTTCGAAATTCTGCCAGCTAACAAACATGTTAGCATCCAGCCGTAGCCATGTAGCTCTCTTGTTTTAATCACCTTCTGCTCTTCCATTAATCAAATAGCATCAGCAGGGATCCTCAGGGACGGAAAAAGTCGCCTAATTCTGAGATTAAACTCATTTAATTCTGACCTTTTTTTCCATATTAAACTGAAATAGTATTTAAAATCAGTTACCTTTTTTTTTTTTCAGTGGCCCTAATCCTCTCCCGTAAATATTAGATTAATGCTGCAGCATCTTTTAAAAGCTGCACCTACCGTGTTATGCCACTAGGGGGCAGACATCCTTTAACAAATCTTATAACTGGATAACAGCACATAATAAATCATAACTTTTTTGGGGCGTTGATTTTTTATGTTTTATGTTTATTTTTCATAATTAGATAAATTCTTCTGTAACCATAAAGTGTTTTAGGCCACAGGAGGGCGCTGCAGGCCTCATGGCGTACCTCATAACCCTGCAGGCGTCCCAGGTTCATCATGTCGTTACAGCGCTTAGGAACCAGCGACATTAGCTCCACGGCTTTCTGCAAACAAAAACACAAACCGTCTGTTAAATATTGCAGAGGTGGGCGATTCTCCGCCGGCTGATGATTCACCGAATGAATCATTTATTATCTTCCTCACAATGCCGCCTCTTTGTCTTCATCACAGCTTTGAAAATGAGATAAAAGCAAACGTCAGCGCACTTCCTCATGTCTGCGTTCTGAACAAGTGCAAAGCATTTTACACTGCAAAAAATGTAAATCATTTTTTCTTAAAATAAGAGCATTTTTTTCTTGGATTAAGGAGGAAAAACAGACACTTTGCCAAAAGAACAAGACAAATTACATTTAAAATGAGAAAAAAACAATTGCCTTGTCTTGTTTTCAGAGTAGGTACAAATGCTGAATTAAAATGTTTGATTATTAAAGATCAAACTGATATAAAAGGAAAAGCAGGAAAATTATCATAAGGTGAGAAAACCTCTTAAAGATCATGAGTCAGTTAATTTGAGAATAAAACCGTTTATTTGAAACAAACACCAACCGGTCAGCAGAGGGCGAAGCAGATCCATCTCTGGGTTTAAGATTATTTTTAGTAAAATTGTGCAAAAATGAGCAGAATTAAAGAAACGGCTGCAGGACTCACCTCAATCTCCTCACAGTCCAGACCAGCTTTACTCGTATACTTCAGGAAATCCTGAAAGATTAAAAGAAACAATCTGATTTAATCACAGTTTCAGAAAAATCACTATTATTATTATTTATATATTTCTATTTGATGGGAACGTGCTGACGATTTTTAAGATTTTTAAATCTCTCTAACAGATCAATCCTTCCTGTCATAATGACTTTGTTTTCTTATCTGCAGCTTATTTTTTCTATCTTCAACATTATCAAAAATTCAAGAAAAAGATCAATTTTAGACACAATTTAATGATTTGATCAAAAAATAAAGACTTAAAGAAGTTAGATTTATTTTAGCTTCCAGTGTTCAATATTGTAGTTTTTATGGATATGAACTTTGGAAAAAAAAATTAAATCTAGATAAGTCAGTTTTTCTAAAATTTGTGCATTTGTTCTTTAATTGAAGAGATAAGATAGACACTTTGGCAATGGAACATTTACATTTGAAATAAGATCATCTATTTTGTTGTCTTATTTCAATTTATATTATCTAAAATAAAGATAAATGTTCCAGTGCACTGCAAAAACCACATAGAAATAAGTAAAAATGTCTTAAATTAAGTGTATTTACCCTTAATTTGAGTAGGCAAATAAAATGATTTGCCAATGGAATGAGTACTTTTACTCTTAGAATAAGATAATTAGACCAAATGCACTTGAAATGAGACCAAGCAATTGTGTTTCCTTATTTTAATTGTAAATTATCTTGTTCCATTGACAAAATGTCTCTTTTATCTCCTCAATCCAAGAAAAAAAAGGACTTATCTAGATTTCAATTTTTTCTAGTGCAGAAACTGAACCCAAAACAAGCAATGAAAAAAAATCCTACAAAAAAATGAACATTATATAAAAGGACCAAGTTAAAACCAGCAAGTACCTCAGATTTCTAAAAAAATAAATAAAATAAAATACTAAACAACAGCAAATTTTTTAAAATAAAGAACTTTTTACAAATATCAACTAAAAGAGACATTATAATAAGATCTGCTTAACAAAAACTAAATAAAGTTTTATCATATGAAGTCAAATCAAAATAATTAAACTGTATTGAAAAATCTTCCTGGATGGAAGAGAAACATCTTCAAACTCGGAAACAAAGTCCAGTGGATTGTTTTTTTTAGCTTTTTTTTTTTAACGACGATGACACGGATGACTGAGACTCTTCACCAATATGACATCATCAACATATCAGGAAGTAACGGATGTT